TGGTCAGACTTTGGGCAAATCACTTAGTTTCTCTATGCCTCAGTTTCTTATCTGTAAAATGGGGATAATGGCACTGTCCTATCACACAAGGTTGTTGTGAGGACAAATACATTAAAGACTGTCCGGTGCTTAGATACTACAGTCATGGGGGCCAAATAAGTACCATAGGCTAGAAAGTTCTGGGTAGCTGAGATCTGGAGATTTAGTTGGGGACCATCTTTACTTTAGGACAGTTTCATCCCAGCATTCAATGTTGAATGTGCCTGCCAGACCATACATATATGCATATTCTGATGCTCCAAGTGCACCTTCCCATAACATTGGCATGCCCATGATCCAAGTGACAGTAGGATTAGCAACAAAAAAAGAAAGGAAGCAACTGACTAAGGATCTTTCTCACCTCTCTGTTTACTCAGTGAACCCTGGGTTACAGTTCTGGACCTCTAGGCTCGTGTTCTGTGCTAGCTGTCATATTAGCACTAGTGAATTAGGGGAGGGCCACCAAGAGTTTGAACCAGCCTCTATGAAGAATTAAGTCATTGTATGTAGTGTGCATCCTTAAGAAAAAGCTCTGCAGAATGTAATAGAAAGTGAAAACTGTTCTGTAGGACCCTGTAGAATTTAATAGCTACATCCCTGCTGTTCTATAGATTGGCTTAAATAACCTATAGAAGGATATTCTCTCTCTCGCTCTCTCTCTCTCTCGTAGTCTTGTGGAGTGATATCTATAGAACACTGTTGGTTTCATCCGTAAGTTCTTTTTATAGGACTTTTCCGTAGAAGGGCTTTGCTGGTTTTGGGCAATGGCTGCAGGAACGTCAGTGCTCTGTTTAATGTTCAGTGTGAATATTCCCAAAAGCGCAATGCAGGATTTGAAAAATGTCAGTGCCACAAATGTGCCTCAGTGCTCTTGGTTACAGGCAAAAAATTAAACAAGAGAAGCGAGCAGTACAATAAACCATCCTTAGTACAACGGCATTATCGTCATAACGAAAGCACTTTGGGGAAATAGAAGAAATATAGTAGGTGGCTTTTAATCTGCAGAGCACGTGCAGTCAAAGTAGAGGGTGGAAGTAACCTTTGATCACTCAGACTCAGATTTTGCCATCCTTACTCAGGGTAAGCAGTACCTTGCTTGTGAATAATCCCATTAAAATCAATGGGTTTACTCAGCCCCACTCCTGCTGAAGTCCCATGCCCCGGCAGGTGCACCCTGTGGGGCTGAAGCCTGAAACCGCTCTCCCCGCTAGGCAGAAGCCCCTACCCCATCACTCTGCTGCAAGGCAGAAGTCTTGAGCTCCCCCCCCGTCCCGCCCCATCTGGTAGGTTCAGAATGTGGGTGTGGGGTCATGGGAGGCTCAGTGAACCGCACTTTAACTGTAAAAAGTCGGCATGTAGTTCACGAGCCATGGTTTGCGCACCCCTGATTTAGATTGAGAGCTCTTTGGAGCTGGGACAGTCTCTGACTATGTGTGCCCAACCCTAGCACAATGGGTCCCCAATCTCAGTTGGGACATCTAGGCACTACAGTAAATGACCGTCAGAAATTGCTGTCTCTCTCTTGTCTTGGAAAGTTGGTGTGTGGCTGTTGCCTTCTCCTATTAAGCATTTTATAAAGCGTGTGGAGTCACAATCTTATAGCAATATTCTGCCCAGATCTGAAACTCTGTAGGTAATTTCCTAGAGAAAATGACTGAAACACCACAAAAACTATGAAAGATTATTTTATGCAAATATGTGCTAGCTCCCCTCCCTGTAAACACCTCTTTGATATGATTCCCTTCATATTGCTCAGTAATCTGTTCATCTCAATTTTCCTAATCTTTAATATTTTCACAAAAGTTTTTAGAAAGGAAATTAAACTCCTGTTTTCAGATAGGGAGCTTTGATTAGGCTCAGCGGCATACTCTATACAGCAGGCAGCAAACAACACTGATATCGGGGTAATTAGGTTGAGTATCCTGAGCAGTTCTCAAGACCTAAACCCTAGAGGGGGAAAAAAATTAATGTGCCAGTGGTCTTCATAAAACGAAGGCAGATTAAATCGGGAGTACTGTCACAGCATTGCTTTTACGGGTACATCTGCTGCAGACTAATTACCTCTCTTCTGCCCATTAAGTTAATCAGTGTTTTTGGTTTGTGTCTGCAATAAAAACAATTAAAAGCTCAACACTCCTATTTTTATTTTTTTGATAAATTTACAGGTGCTCTGCTTTTGAGGGTAATTTAATTTAGTTTGATGTGTATCATAGTCCAAAGTGTTCTTGTTAGACAACATGCTCTCTCTAATATAATTTACTTGTATCTAGAATGTAATTTTCTTTTCAATCACCTTCTTTCTGTTCCTTGGGCTGTTTTTGTGAAGAGTACAATAGCTTTTTCTTTTTTTAAAGAAACAAACAACTTTGTATAAGTGATTTTAAAGCAAACAAAGAATTGCCATTGGCCCTGATTCAGCAAACCAGTAAAACACATGCTAAAATCTAAGCATGCATTTAAGTCCTGTCGACTTCAGTGTTTTGTTGAATAGAGAAGGACTTAAACATGTTCTCGAGTGCTTTGCTGTCTATTATAAAAGTAATTGGGGAGAGAAATGCAATAGATTGGAGCAAAGTCTGTCATGAAGCCTCAAACCAGGTATGAAATATGCCCACATGTATATGTTGTGGTCAACCAGGGCAGATGTAAATTGGGATTTTGCTGTGTCGAATAGGGTAAAAGACAAGCATGCTCGTGCGTGTAGGGATTGGGCACTTCATAGTGACCGACAAGGTAGAGGTGGGATTTTCAAAGGCGCCTAAGGGAGCTAGGGATCCAAATATCAGTGAAATGCAGGGAGAGGGAAACTCCTATCTCCTGGTAGCCCCTTTGAAAAGCCTGGTCTGTGCTCCTAAATCACCTGGGCACGTTTGACAATCCTTTTGTGGGTTTCCTTCAGCGTGTCATGTAGATGGATGCAGTCATATAACTCACACATTAACATCTGATGTTACAGACTAGCAAGGCTGCTCCCAGTGCGGGCCAGGTGCCTAACTCCCCGAGGCCCCTTTAAAAACATGAGCCTAATATACAGCAGTTGGGCAGTTCGGTCACAGGACCAGACACAGCCTGAGATTCTGCCGTTGGAAACCCAGGTGCAGGCCACTGGCGGTGAGGAGAGGTTGTGGGCCAGTTCAGACCAGGTGAGTGAATGGTGCTGGCCCAGAACAGCAGAGGGGTGGGGAATGTGTTGATATTAGTGCAGCCTCTGCAGAAATGTCTCCTACAGAGTCATGGTGAAGGAAACACCAGGAAGGGGGAAATTTTATATCCTAGCCCGTGTGCTGTGTTAGGAGCGGGTCAGTACACCGCCTGCTACCACGCTGTCACAATAGGATTGAAAACCCTTTTCACAAAGCAGGGGAGGATGTGAAATGGGATCTGGAGCAGCAGGAAACAGCGGCAGCAGCCCAACCTGTAGTTTAACCAGCCTTTCTGCCATTTATGGTGGAGAAGGAGCAGCACCAGCATTCTGCACCGTGCATAGGCCCACTAGTTACAGCCACATATCCTTTCCTGGGCACTGCAGGTAGGAGTGGCCATAGAAACCCACAAACGTATCTGGCCAGATCCTCAACTGGTGTAAATCCTCCTAGCTCTGTAGATTTATACCAGCGGAGGATCTGGTCCATCACCTCTACCTCTAAATACATATGGTGAAGCTGGGCGGTTGGCTCTGCAGGCACCCCTCCCACTGAAAGTCATGTGCACCCATCTTAAGGATAGACTTGGCGTTGCTTACCTAGGAATGGTGAGTGTCATGTTTTGAAGCTATTTTGTTAATTAAATCAAGTTCCTCGTCTTATGTAACCATAAGGCCCCACGTTTCAGTGAATAACGAAGCTGTGTTCAGAAGCTCCATATCTGGGAGACAGACATTCCACATTATAATAGCTTTTGCCTTTCGTCTTGTCTACTTAATTGGCTCCCAGAGTGCTAAAAAGTAACTGCATTTCATCTTGATGGTTTGATCTAAATGAGCTTTTCATTCCCATTTCAACTTACAGCAATTCTGAAAAAAAAAAACTCTCTTCACAGGTCATTAATTACTCCCACCAACACATCTTCTTAAGTAAGCAGAGAAGTATCCACATATGCTTCCCCATCTTCCTGTTCAAAAAAATTAGTCCATAAAAGCCTGCATTCAACTCGCAAGAGACTGGAGTAGATCCGATGGGTTGCAAGTGCAGAGAGGAAAGGAACTGTAAGCTATACCACTCTGTTAAGAGGAACTTGCTGCCCCTTAAAAAAAAAAAACCTAGTGGCTGGCTCCCGCTTTTCAAAGGGTCCCTACTGGCCCAGCTAAGCCAGGATGCCTCCTGCAGAAAGCCTTGGCTCTTTGGTTGGCCAGGCCAGAGACATCAGCTCAGCCTGCTGCTGGCAGAGAACAGAATTCCTCCAACTCAATCCAAGGTTGTAGAAACTTCCTTTTGATGCATTTACATTGTGGCCACTAATCGGTCCTAAACAGGGGGCTACTCTCCTAGGCACAGCACCTGTTTGACTACACGTTTCCCTCTGTAAATGGGTGCTAGCTGTTTATATAGCTTTGTTATATTTTCTCTATTTTTTGTCTGTACGGTGACTTTCATTCCTTAGGCTAGGTCTACACGATGGACCTTAGAGCGGCACAGCTGTACCACTACAGCTGTGCTGTTGTAAGGTCTTCTGTGTAGCCGCTCTTTGCTGGCAAGAGAGAGTTGTCCACACCTGGCGCTTTTGCCAATGAAACGTATGTCGGTCGGGAAGGGGGTGTTTTGTTGGTCGGGGTGTGAAAAAAGTTTTACTGACAAAAGTGGTAGTGTAGACAAAGCCTTAGTTCTCTTCTTATATTCTCGGGAAAGGGGGAGGCTAAAATTTCAGAAGAGGCACGTTCCCATTTAGTTACCGAGTGAGAACAATGGAAGTTGCTGGATGCTAAGCAAGAGCTACCCACTTTACTTCGATGCTTTAAATAAGAGCTAAGCACATTTCTGAAAATCTGCCCTGTAATCGACACTTACAGGCTTTCCTCACAGTTTACTCCATGGCTATCTACAGAAATAGTGAATGTTAGAGGTAATTGAAGTGAATTGTCCAATTAGCTCATAGGTTAATAGATTCATATAAAGGGTCAAATCCTTAGCTGGAGTAAGTTGGTACAGCACAGTGGTTTTCAACCTGTGGTCCATGGACCACAGACTATGTCAGATCCCAGAAAAGGCATTCTTTTTTTGATTTTTTTTCTGATCAATCAAAAGTATGTGAATACCATCTACTGGTCAAAATTGGGAAGTGTTGTCGTTACCATAGATGCCCACAGTTTAGCGCGTTCTCACGCTGCATCAAAGGCGGGCTGAGCACGTGCAACATTTATATTTGAATTCTGTTCAGTCAATTTTCAGTCTAAGACTTCCACAGACCAAAATTCCAATTGAATTTCCAAAGAGGGCCGCACTTGCATTTGAAATTTTTTAGGGGTCCGCCAATGAAAAAAGTTTTAAAACCACTGCTGTAACACCTCTGGTTTAAAATGTTCACTAAACAATTTCTGAATAAATCAGATGTGTTAAAAAAATAAAATGCAAAAGGTGAAATCCTGGCTCCACGGAAGCCCCTGACAAAAGTCCTGTTTACTTAAGTGGGATCAGAATTTCACCCAAAGTCGTCTTCATGGATAGTCAAACAGAGAATTCTTCCTGTAAGTTGTTTGCTATGATTAGTGCATCTGACTCTGCTCATGGCTGATTGTGTTTAAAAATGCAGGGCTAAGGAGATCGGTAACAAAATGCTATCTGTAACACCTAGCATAACAGATTGGTAGGGACCAAAAGCTGTTACTGTTCGTGCTTGGTGAAATAAGTTGGATCTCAGTTCAAGTCATACAGCACAAGTGTCTACATCAGACAAACCACCCCGGCAACTTTCATATGTATTGGCACCTAGCTGAGAGTCCAAGGACTGAATGGGCAAGGAGACTAAACTCATCTCTTACCCAAGAAGTGGTCTCTTCAGGCCAAGGGTGAGGCATTGCTGCTGCCCACGTCAGAACCACTCTTAGGAGGCCCCATGTTTTCCCCTCTTGCTGAGACACTGTAGAATATCATGGAGTCCCAGGGCCAAAGTGCATCATTGGAGATGTAGTGCAGCTCAGGAGATGGGCCCATATAGGAGAACAAAGGGCTGAAGGCCCCAAACTACAACTTCTGTGAGGCACGTGGCTGTACAGATGCTCCTTGATCTACACAAAAGTGTTTCGTTCCGGAATGCCTTGCGTAAGTCGGGAACGTATACCCGACAATTATGCCAAAAAAAAAAAAAAAAGCTTACGGAACTTTTTCCGTAAGTGCGGATTTCCATAAGGCAGGTTTGCATCTATATTTACAAAATAAAACAGTTGGTTTGGGGGTATTTGTTTTTTCAATTAAGAGTCAGAATTTTCTGCAGAAAGCAGACAGTTTTCATGAAAGATTTCATTTAATTTAAGTGGACATCCAATTTTACATTTAAAAAGTATCTGTGGCAAATGTCAGTCCTAAACATGAGTAAAAATAAGAAAAACAAATTATAGCTGTTCCTAAGCCTCCAGGGTATGAGTATGATCTGTAAATTTGTCCATCACTCTGCTCCAATAATTTTTCTACTCATTACTTACCTTAATGTAATACTGCACCAGAGCTTATTGGAACCAAATGCTTGTTAAAAATGCATTGAAGTAAGCAAACCAAAAATGACAAGGAGTTTACAAAGTGACAAACATCCCCCAGATAGTAAACTTTTATATCTAGCTGGCTTTTCATTGTCCTATACGAAAGATGGATTTTTCTCTCTCGTTTTTTCGGAAGTTTCCTTGACAACTGTTTAATAATATTTGAGCCTTCACTTTCCTTAGTAACAAGGTGTTCCCTTCATTGGCTGGAACAAAGGCAGATAGCTATCTCTGTTATATACAGAGGGCCTCCAGTTCTTGTGTATGTGTGTTATTTCATTTCTTGATCAACCGCTGTGATTAAGAGGAAAGCATGACACGATTTTTCTCTTGGCACACAGATAAAAAGCAAGCCAAAAAAGTGATTCCTACCCTTCCATGACTTTGGGGAGTTTAAAAAAGATTAAAAGATGACAAGTCGCTCATTTGAAAGCTTAATCTTTCTAAGGCCCCTGTTATCATTGTATCTGAACCCCTCATAATCTCATGTGTTTATCCTCTCAACACCCCTGTAAGGCATTGAAGTATAGCTATCCCCATTTTACAGGTAGGGACCTGAGGCAGGCAGGCAGACTAAGTGACTTGCTCAAGGTCATGCACGAAGTCTGTGGTGGAGCAGGGAATTTAATCTAGGTCTCCTGAGTCTCAGCCCCAACCACTGGGCCATCCTTCCTCTTCTTAATACCCGCTAGAGTTTTGTTTGCACACAAGAGAGTGCCTCTTGCTGATTTTGTTCTGCTCCTGGGACATCAACTAGCACCACTGTGTGCAGATATAAAAGATATCATAAAGCTGGATCACCAACTTGCCTATATGCCCACACAGGTATATAAGGAAGAGTGAATCCCCAGATTCTCACACGCACCCCAGTAGGGCCTCACCGAACCTTGGGTCTGCTACTGTGTCCTGTCTCCAAAACAAGCAGGGGGAGGGAAGGGAGCAGAGCCACATGTCCATCCCCAATGCACTAGCCAGTTATTAAGAGCAGGGAAAATGTTTTGTACCAGCTCTGGTTGAAGTTGAGATGTACTATGCTAGGGAACCCTAAACCGTAGCAGCAACCCAAAAAACTGTCTGGATGTTCTCGATCAGCCTACATTCTTAGGGAAGTGTTGTCAGGCAGGTGGAGACTGCTTCTCTGCCTGCAGGTGCAATTTGTGGCCACTGACGGATTTGCATTCTCAGACGTGGACACTCAATTGGGTAGTGTTAGACGTGTAACTTCTATGCAGCTACAGTTCGGAAGGGTAGACTCACCTCTGGCACACCCCTTTTGTGGCTGGTCATGGTGTAGCAAGCTCTCCTTCTCTAGTGCCCCCCTGCCAATAGCCTACCAACAGCTACCTCTTCTCCTTACTCGGCTCTCTGGCCAGCTCACTTTGAAGTCTCTCTCCTTCCAGAGAGACACTGGATCCTCAGCTCTGATCTACCGCCAAGGGTAGGTTGGCCTTCTCAGGCCCACTCCAAGAGTCTCCTTCATCCCTGCTGCTCTCTCCCATCAGGGCCAGGCCCAAATCATAAGCTTCTTGCTGAAGCTCCCCTGCTCTTTACTCAAGAGAGGCACTGCAGTGTTCCTCTACTTCAGGCTCCTTCTAATCTGGGCTTCCTTTCCTTATAGTCGTTACCCAGTTCCTCCCCCAGCTGGGCTTCACCTTTAATTAAGCCTGATGTGCCCTCCAGGTAGAGCCAGGGGCATAATTAGCCTCTTTCGTTGCCTGTGTGGGGTACACACCCCATTGCCCACTGGCACAGAAATGCGAGGGTCAGCATTGAGATGAATGAACTCTTTACACATCATAAAGCAAGCAAAAGAGGTCACAAATCCATTTGTCTCCTTTACAGGTCACCGCTGAGCAACTTCCTCAAGGTCACACAGCTAGCTGGTATTAAGAATCCCTTGCTGAATTTTATGCTTTATTTTGGTACTTCAGAGTGAACTTTCCCTCTTTGGCTTCTCGTATTTCATTGGAAAAAATCTCTAGGCGCTCAGTACTTGTCTTGTGACAATTCTGACTTCAGAACAACATGACATGCCTCGTTCTTCTGGACCAAATGTCACAGAAATCTCATTTGTGCAGCGATCTGCAGCTTTTGTCATCGGAGATTGATACGGAAGTACACGGAACAAGAATACAAACCTGAATAACTGATCGCTAGCACATGGTGTGGCTGCTTATCACATTCAGTAGATGCCTCCAGGAAGAACTGTCAGCTTCTATTGGAATATTGGAAAGTGGGCAAATTTTGGTGCATGTCTGGAATCTGAGATGCCTAGTAAAATGTGTTGGTGGCTGCTTTATATTTTAAGTATCTTTGAGTACATAGGAAGTGCCAGACAGGATCAGATGCAAGGACCATCTTGTCCAGTGTTCTGTCTCTGATAGTGGCCAGCCTCAGATGCTGCAGAGGAAGGTGTAAGAACCCTCATCAGGTAGATATGGGATAATCTGACCCCCACATTGGGATTCATAATGATCGACTAGTTAGAGATTGGCTTAAACCCTGAAGCATGAGGTTTCATATCCCTTTCACAACTATTATCACACTGGATATTTTTGCTGTCCTTATAAGTGTCCAATCCCTTTATGAATCTTGCTGAGCTCCTGGCTTCAATGACTTCCTGTGGCAGTGAGTTCCACAGTCTAATTCCGTGTTTTGTGAAAATGATTTAAAAACAATACTGCTTTGAGTTTGCCAACTTTTAATTTCATTGACTGACTCTTTGCTTTTGTATCACGGGAGCGCAAACTGACTTGGCGAAAGAGCAGAGAAAAGGACACCCCTCCTTTTCTTCCGTCTTCCCTGCTACATGTCTGCTGCATGTCTTTTTAACTTTAATATCAAGAAAGTCTTTCAACTATTTTTTTGGGGGGGGTGGGGGAGTCAGAGGACACCATCGATGACATGGAGATGTCCCTGCGAACTTTCTCATCTCTTAGCTGAAGGGGTGGGCAGGCTGAATATTTATTTTTTCTCCCAACTGCTTAAATTAAATAGGTATTAACCAAATTCAGAGTTTTTAAAGAGTCAGAATAAAAATTCCTTTTCCTTTCAGTTAATTGGGGTTCAGGGGCAAGGTTTCTTTTATGTCAAAACCCTGCTAGTTCATCAACTGTCTGTGGAGTCTGCTGGGAAAACGAGACTAGGCAAGACCTGAATTTCTAATTGTAAAAACAAGCAGAAAAAAATACTTTAAAAACCTTAAATCTCTTCAGCCTTTTCTATGCAACATAGCTAAGCAAAAGGGCTTCTTTATGCATCATAAAAGACACACACAAATTTTACTTTACAGGCCACCTTTACATTTATGCAATAAAAGCCGGGAACCCAGCTTTTATTCTAAACTGTCTGGAGCTCAGCTTTTATTTTTATTATAAAATACAGGTAGCTTGAAGTCTAAGAGGATCTAGCTATAAACTTCACCGTCTTTCCAAAAAAAAAAAAATGTATGGGTGTGTTGGAAATTTCTATATGAGAAAGCAAACTTTAAAGCCCTTTACCAAAAAAGATAAAAAAATTCCAAAGGTTAATTAAATCTTTTTTAAAGAAAGTCTACAAGAGGAAAAAATCAAACTTGGTCAGTCCTGAGATGTGTGAGCTCCCCAGTGAAATACCAGAGGTGGTTCTTGTTTGTATCACAGTAGCAGCAAAAGGCCTCAACCTAGACTGAAGTGTTGTGAAGAGCTACAAGCTACTTTGCTGAAAAGTTCATGCACGTTTGGGAAGGCGTCCCAAACTGCATCGGTCCACTCCCCCACCGCATCCACCAAACAGCCCACCTTCCTTCCTGGAGTTCAGCACATTCCTTAGTTGACACTGCCCAACAACCTCTGACTCCACCCCATGGCTTTCCTGGATGGGTGAAAGACAGTCACGAGAAACTGTTGCCGCTCATGATCAAGATAACTAATGCCTTATCAGGGAAGGAATCTTCACTTTCTCCTTCAAGCAGTGTGACTGACAGTGAAGAAACACACCTTGGATACATTGGTTCTAGCCTGGATATGCTGGTTTTAGCCAATTACTGCCCATGTCAAGCCTCCTATTCTGGAGAAAGCCCTGAGTGAAGCTAGCTAAATGCCAGCTACAAGTTCAGCTACACCTCTACCTCGATATAACGCTGTCCTTGGGAGCCAAAAAATTGTACCGCGTTATAGGTGAAACCACGTTATATCGAACGTGCTTTGATCCACCGGAGCGCGCAGCCCCACCCCCCTGGAGCACTGCTTTACCACGTTATATCTGAATTCGTGTTATATCGGGTCGCGTTATCAGGGTAGAGGTGTAATTGAAGCCAATATTCTAGACCCGGCACAGTCTGAACTCACACCAACCCACAGAACTGAAACTGCCTTAGTGGTACTGATGGATGATCTCTTCCTCTCAGCGCAGTAGGACAGACATGCATTCTCACCCTACTGGACCTTTCCGCAGCTTTTGACGCTACTGACCATGGGATACTGCTGTCTCGCCAGAGGGAAGTGGCTGGGATTAAGGGTAATGCACTAACATGGTTTGAGTACATCCTCCCAGGAAGGAATCAGTGCACCTCCACCACTAGGCCCCTCATTTGTGAAGTCCCTCCAGGGTCAATTATCTCTCTGGCCCTGTTCAATATCTACTCACAGCCCAGTAGGTGAACTGGTCAGACAATATGGACTCAACTGCCAGCAATATGCAGATGATACACAACTCTGTCTAGTATCAGAGGGGTAGAAGACACACAACTCTATCTATCCTTCACCACCAATATGACCCAGATTCTGCCTTCTTCTACACCCCAGGCAATCCCACTGGCTCTGAGACCGGATAGAATTTTGTCCCTGGTTTCCAAGATTGGCAGCTTACCTTTCTAACTACATTCCCACCTGCAATTTCAATTGGTTTTGATGGTGGTTCTTCAGTGGTTGAAATTATTCCTGCATATATCTGGGCAAATTCTGGCCCCATGGAAGTCAGTGGGAGTTTTGCCATCAACTTTGATGCAAAACAAGATTCAGCCAATAGTTCATGAAGTGCTCTGTAATTCTTGCGGATGAAAGGCCCTTCATAAACGTAAGTGTGAGTGTTTCCATCTATATGGGATGGGTGTATTAAATGGAATTTTAGTAAATGGCAATTTAAGAAAAATTGAATAAACTGTCACCTAAAATCAATAAAATGATCTAATGGTAAACTTAAGGGTAGCATTGTGAAATTCTTCCTGGATTATGGCTGTTCATGAATGAAAGTGCATCAGGATATATAGTTGTGGCTAATAAGAATTTGGTTTTATAGAAAACTTTGCCCAGCACATATTTTTGTGACACTACCCCTGGTTGTCACTGAGAACATTTCCCTGACCTCTTAATAACAGTATCAATTTTCACTCAGACTCCAGATAATTAGCTGAAGCAGTCTTATCAGGAGTAAATTATTGGGACAGTTATTACTTTCATCAGCATTTTATAGATGGAAGTGATTGGAGCTCACAGTTATTGATACTATATATCTAAATATGAAAGAAATAGTTAGACAGTTTTAAGAGTTTTTTTAAATTACCTCATCTGCTGGCTAATAAGATACCAGGCCACAATACCGTTAATCTACAGTGAATGCTTGAAGCTGGCAATTTGAATTTAATTATTTTTGTTTCAGACAAAGCCTATTTTTGATAATAGAATCCCTGTCTGATACATGGTAGCTTTTAATAATTACTGGATTAAGAATGTGATTAAAAGAAGCTTTCATAATTTTATTTTTATTGGCTGCAAATGCACAAATTGTATAGTGCACCATTTTTAATCTTTTTAAATGTTTTAAAATATCAAAATTAAAATACAAACAACCGCCTTCAAGCTGTGAATATAATGTACAGGATCAATACAACTAAAAATAAACTAGGAACATCACTGGGAACACTCACTTCTAAGTTTCCTCTGTATTTAAAGCAGTTATTTTAATTGGTTCCTATACCATGCCTGTCACTGTAGTACGTGATTTGGTACATGCCAATTCCAGGTTTTTAATTTTGGAAATAATTGGAAAAAGACTGTCATTTAAACATCAATTACCACCACTCCAGCATGTCTCCATCTTCACATACCATGATGGTTACGTGCATTAGAGACAGATTCTTGTGACCAAATGGGTATAAACGTGCTGGAGTTCAGAAAACCAGGAGGGATCTTAATTTGCAACAGTTTGCATTCTAGCTGTCTTCTTTTGCTGTCAATAACACATAAGAACAGCTATACTGGGTCAGACCAAGGGTTCCTCTAGCCCAGTATCCTGTCTTCTGACAGTGGCCAGTGACAGATGCTTCACATAACGTCCCTGCGGCCCGCACCATTTCCTGCAGCTCCCATTGGCCGGGAACAGCGAACTGCGGCCACTGGGAGCTGCGGGCAGCCATGCAAATGTAAACAAACTGTCCGGTGGCCCGCCAGCAGATTACTCTGACGGGCTGTGCGCAGCCCACAGGTTGCCCACCACTGACATAGTGGCATTATGATATTTTCTGTCATATCTATCCCTTTCCTAATGGGTCCTAACATTGTTAGCTTTTTTGACTGCCACTGAACATTGAGCAGATGTTTCAAAGTATTCCCCATGACTCCAAGATCTTTCTGGAGTGAAAACAGCTAATTTAGACCCCATGTGCATTACTTCACATTTAGCAATATTGTATTTCATCTGCCATTTTGTTGCCCAGTCACCCACTTTTGAGAGATTCTTTTGTAACTCTTCACAGTCAGCTTTGAATTTAGCTATCTTGAGTAATTTTGTATCCTGCCAATTTTGCCACCTCACTGTTAATCCCCTTTTCCAGATTATTTATGGATACTTTGAACATCACAGGTCCCAATACAGATCCTTGGGGGACCCTGCTATTTGCCTTTCTCTACTATGGGCACTGACCTTTTTTCCCCCTGTTCTTTGTTTCCTATCTTTTAACCAGTTCCTGATTTATGAGAAGATCTCCCCAATTGTTAATTACCCAAGTTAAAAATGTGTGTCTTATTGCTAGGCTGAATTTGTCAACTTCCATTGCCATTGTTAACTTCCAGCCACTGGATCATGTTATACCTTTGTCTCTTAAACTGAAGATCTTTTATCATCAGATTTCTGTTCCCCATGTGGGAACTTAAAGAGACGGCTGAAGGATGTCTTGTAAGTTAGACTCCAGGAGCTCAATCTGCTTATCACTGTAAGGCAAGTTGTCTAATCCTTTAATCATTTTTTGGCTCTCCTCTGAACCCTCTCCCAATTTATCAACATCCTTCTTGAAATATTCCAGAGTGGTCCCACCTGTGCCAAATATAGAGGTACTAATCTTCCTACTCTATATCTTCTCATTTATATATCCAAGGATTGCATTAGCCCTCTTGGCCACAGCATCTCACTGGGAGCTCATAGAATCATAGAAGATCAGGGTTGGAAGAGACCTCAGGAGGTCATCTAATCCAACCCTCTGCTCAAAGTAGGACCAACACCTACTAAATTATCCCAGCCAGGGTTTTGTCAAGCCGGGCCTTAAAACCCTCTGAGGATGATTCCACCACCTCCCTAGGTAATCCATTCCAGTGCTTCACCACTCTCCTATTGCAATAGTGTTTCCTAACATCCAACCTCTTCATCTATCTATGAGTCATGTTCACTCCCCTCCATCCTCAAAGTCTTTTTCAGAGTCACTACTTCCCAGGATACAGCTCCTTTACATTCTCTGTTCCTAGATATAGGACTTTACATTTGGCCATATTAAAATTCATTCATGTTTTCTTGTGCCCAGTTTACTATATGACCCTGATCACTATCAGTGACCTGTCCTCTTAATTATTTAACCACTCCCCCAGTCTGCATGTCCCGTCATCCCAGACTTCAGCGCCTAACTCAGAGGGGGTGAGGGTTAGTACACGCTGCTCTGGTTGGCATCTCCCAGGGGCCAGTGCCCTGACTCTGCGTATGAGAGTCTAAGGGTAGGTCTACACTTACCCGGTAGTTCGGCGGCGAGCGATTGAACTTCTGGGTTCGACTTATCGCGTCTTGACTGGACGCGATAAGTTGAACCCGAAAGTGCTCGCTGTCGACTGCGGTACTCCAGCTAGACGAGAGGAGTACCACGGAGTCGACGGGGGAGCCTGCCTGCCGCGTGTGGACCGAGGTAAGATCGAACTAAGGTACTTCGAACTTCA